TACATTTTTTTTCTTTTCATGATGACAGTGGTGAGGCTCTGCCTCCCCTGCCTCCCCTGACTGCACGTCCCTGTTCAACAGATATTGGAATGGTAAGCCATGTAGACAATTAAGAACTAATACCAATAAGTTATGTTAAGATAGGAAGCAAACAATTATACACACCAGTCTAAAAGAGTCAAACATTATTTTTCACTCAGTATGCTTTCTGTCTTAGCTTCTACTGAGGTTTCTATGTTGCGTTTTTCTAGGATGTGTTATCTTCATTAAAAGGGAACAACATGGGAAATCTGGCATTTCACAGGTGGAGAAGCCAAGATGCTTCCATTATGGAAAGACCAAATACAGATCCTATTACTTGCAATTCTGATATGGATAACTTGGATCAGGGAAGTTTGCAAAATTAATAAAAAAAGTTAGTGGAAGCTAAAACATGAAGATATATTTTTCTGTGTGTAATTTTGTTGTACAAAAGAGGATGGGTACCTATTGCATTATTATGGCTGTCATCATGACTTTTTTTTTTACATCCCAAGGCATTCCTTTCAGTTTCCATATATACAATGCATCCACAAGTAACTCTGATAAGGATTTAGCATTTTTGCATATATTAAAATGCTTATGTGAGTAACCTAAATTCTCCATAGTCTTTCTCATAGAACATACAGTACAACATATATAACAAAGAAATGAAGTTGGGATTGTGAGTTCAATCTAGTTTACCAGGAAAAGAACATTTATAAATGTATAGCAGGGCTTTCTTCATATGCTGGGAATCTTGCTTTTTTAGAGTCTAATGCACAAGAAACAATTAAAGTGTACAGTTGTAGATTCTTTCTTGGATTTTGCAGTATCAGACACTGTGTTGTCTCCTATTACAAAGATGTGCAATGAGGATCAATATTTCATCAGAAGTGTTTCCACTTAGAATCATAGGGCTGGAAGGACCCTAGAGGTCTTCTTGTCCAATCTCCTGCCCAAGGCAGGAGTCCTTATATCATCCCAGACAAATGGTTGTCCAATCTTTTCTTGAAAACCCCCAGCAATGGAGCACGTACAACTCTGAGAGGCAAGCTGTTCCACTGATTAATCATTCTCAGCATCAAGCAATTCCTCCTTATTTCCAAGTTGGATCTTCTCTGACACGTTTCTACCCATTGCTTCTTATCCTGCCCTCAAGTGCTATGGAGAATAAATTGTTCCTCACTTCCCTGTGACAGTATTGGAAAATTGCTATCAGGGCTCCCCTAAGTAGACAAGAGCTAGTATCTTTTTAGAAATATTTCTGTGTCAGTTTGACTCCCAGAATTCTCTGCAAAATATAGCATTTTATCTAAGCTTTCCCTGCTTGCCACCCAATAGATTACATCCAACATAAATTCTTTTGCCGACAGAAAAGGAGATGTCTTTCATCACTACCTAACACCTCCAGCAGTACTGCAAGCTCTAGAAGTGCTCCTTGGCATTCCCCATGGGGTTCTCATCCATTTTGTAAATGCTGTTATAGACAGCCAAGTTTATTTTGCTGCCATACATAAATATCTAAAGAAAAAAGTCAAGTCTCGTTTTTTTCGCTAGCTCAACTTTATAAACATGATCATTAGTTTTCTTGGCAAGAATACAGAAGTATTTCTTTCAAAAAGTAGAAATGCGTGTACACATAAACTTCAACTTATTTAGTGCCTGTTCAAAGTTATAATAGCACTGAAAAAATGACTTATGACCATTTTTCACATTTTTGACCGTTGCAACATCCCCATGGTCACCTGATCAAAATTCAGACTCTTGGTAACTGACTCATATTTGCGACAGTTGCAGTGTCTTGGGGTCATGTGATCACCTTTTTGTGATCTTCTGACAAGCAAAGTTAATGGAGAAGCCAGATTCACCTAAAAACTGTGTCACCAACTTAACAACTGCAGTGATTTAACAACTGTGGCAAGAAAGATTGTAAAGTGGGGCAAAATTTACTTAACAAATATCTCATTTAACAACAGAAATGTTGGGTGAAATTGTGTTCATAAGTCAAGGACTACCTGTATTATAATTTCTCCTGGTAATTTTTATAACACCAGATTATCCAAATTCACATTGTAAATACTTTAATTACATTAAAGTACTTAGTTCATAGAGGGGTTTTTTTCTTTTTCTTTTAATTGAACATCTTTTGTAGAGATGTAACTTGCTATTTAAGAACTGTTATCCTAGTGGCAATGATGCTGTCTGAATTTAACTTTAAAATAGATATGCTGCATTTCTCATCTTGTAATCCACAATACTCTGGTCTAAAGTATAAAAAACACAATGGAGAATGTCTGCTGCACAGATTGCTAGTTGCAACAAACAGTGGAAGCTTTTCAGTGACATGCACAAAGATCCACCGAGACTCAGCTGAAAGCATTCAACTCAGTTTCTTCCTTTGACCCAAACCACTTTGGAAAATCATGTTTCCAGATGTGAAAGGCTCAGCACATTAACCTTGCTGCAAACCCCCAACCTTCTGCCATCTGATTTTATAGCAGATGCATTTCAATAGAACTACTGTAGCCATATGAGAGACTAAAAATCAACACAACACACAAGATCATATTCCATTTTCAAACGTCTTTCACTTGGTGTAACAACTGAACCTTTAAAGAAAACTGCAGGTAGGAAATAAAGTGGAATTTTACTATTCACATTTCATCTCTTCTTGCCAGAATATAGGAATTAAACCAGGAGTAACAAGCAAGAGATTCTAGTCTTCATTTTAGCTTAAATTATTAATTTTAGCTTAAATTATTAAGCTTAATAATTTAATTTAAATTATTAATTATTAAATTATTAAAATCAATAATTGCAATTAATTGTGGCAATAAAACTAATATGGAAGTTTTTTATTTCTACATGGCTACATTCCACAGAGAAAGACAAAGAGAGATGACATAAATCCAAATAAATACTATTTTATTCTCATAATGGCAAATCATAGCATTTTAAGAACTTGGGACTACAAATTTCCTGAAAGAATGCATCCCAACATACATAGGATATGTAATGTCTATCCTCCACTCACCAGAATTCTACTACAATGGAAAAAAAAAACCCAACCCCTGCTATATCTGATCAATGGGACTGAATCACATCTGAATTCAGGCAAAGTGAAGACTGTATGCAGATTTGCAGTGGACTTCATCATGTATGCAGTAATTGCACTTCAATCTCAAATTGGTGAAGACATACCAGGATGAGAATATATTTGCTCTTAAGATTTGTGACATCAGTTTTATCTCAGCTCTTCTGTAGTATGTTTGCACTGACATATCACTATAAATCACTCTCATTTCATAACTAGGATTTATTTATATATCTACTACTATGCCATCAATTACAAGCAAAGGTAAAGAGCATGCATTTTATTTGGTACAAGCATCAGGGTATTTGAGTTAACGAGTTGTAAGACACCAGTATTACAAATCCTTACACTACAATATTCCTCACAGGTGAAACCAATGCAGAACTGTTCACTCAAACACTCCAATCCTTTTAGCCCAGTGACAACATGCCATAATAATTAACACTCAAAAAGTAACTATAAAATTGATCATAGAGATAGAAGCAGAGGTGGTATTCAGCAGGTTCTGGCCAGTTCTGGAGAACTGGTAGTGGAAATTTTTAGTAGTTCAGAAACTAATAAATACCACCTCTGACAGGCCTCGCCCCATCTAATCTCTATCTCCCGAGTTCCAGTTTATCAGGAGTAAATGGTGATTTTGCAGTAACCTTCCCCTGGAGTGAAGTGGGAATGGAGATTTTACAGTATCCTTCCCCTGCCACGGCCACCAAGCAATGCCCACCAAGCCATGCCCACCAAGCCACACCAGATCACCAAACCATGCCCACAGAACTGATAGTAAAAAAATTTGAATCCCACTACTGGATAGAAGGGATAGAAGAAGTACAGCTTGAGACATCCATCCTATCTTACCTCATAGAGGGTAATTATTCCATTGGTTTCATTTGGTGGCTTCCACTGAACATAGATCTTCTCCTCAAAGGGTCCTCCCTGAATAGATTCAAGGGGAACAGTTCCAGGAACTAAAAATAAAATGAAAACTTTGTAAATCATAATATTTCTTTTTTTCTCTCTCTCTAAGCTAACATCATAATCAATGTTCACTCCAATTTCTGACAAAATATTGTGCATTTTTCTCAAACCAAGTACAAATTTCTCTGCCACAATAATACAAGTGAATTGTCCTCCCTTAATAATAGTAATTGAGACCCGAATTTCCAATGCTAAGTGGCACAATCATAAAGTACAATATCACGTGACTGCATCACATGACCATTAATTTGTAACCTTCTGCCAGTTTGCCCATTGACTACTTGTAGACAAGTAGAAAAGAAGATTGTAAATGGCAATCATGTAACCACAGGGACACTGAAATTGAAATAAGTGTGAGGATTCATTGTAACTACTATTCATTCAGCACCATTACAAGTTTGAATGGTTACTGAATAAGTGGTCATTAAGCAAGGATGTTCGATAGTGACATGTTAAAATAAAACTGAAGTACTTGATTTTGTTTGCATTCTATTAACTAGGTCAGTGATCCCCAACCTTTACAGTTTTGTGGATCGGTGGCGGTGGCGGTGGCAGGGCAGAGAGGGAATGGTTTCTCAGAAACAATGGACAAATGCACTTTCACGCACAGCTCCATTTGCATATGCAGAACAGGGGTGACTTCTGGCTTCTGCTAATGCCGGTTCACTCAGGGATGCACTTTGGGTGCACACGCTTGATGCGTGCTATGGGTGCATGCACAATAGTAAAAAAAGGCTTCTGCCCTTGTGCAGAAGAAAAATAACAAGATAGAACCAGTTCGGGGGCGTGACAGGCTGAGTTACTACCTACTTGGCTGAACCAGTCTGAACTTGTAGGAACCCACCTCTGATACTGCAGGCACGCATGTCTGCCACTTGCACAAATGGAATTTTGCACAATCACACGTGTGCCCACTGCTAACATACACAGCCCAGGGTCGGGGTCCCTTGAACTAGTTTACTGTTGTGGCCCAGCAGCTGCCGGCTGAGCTGTTGGTGGATTCTGACAGCGATGAACATTATGGGACTGCTCTGGAGGATGAAGAAGATTCTGGAGGGTGTTTGGAGTCAGAGCAGGGACTAGAGAGGCCTGTTGGCCACCAGGTGGCATTTGAGTCAGGGAGCAGTGAGGTAGAACAGAGGGAGGTTGTCCCTGATATGCATGTGCATAGAGCTGAGAAGAGAAGGGAGCAATTGTGGAGAAGACATCATAGAAGGAAATAGGGACAGGTGGCTACTGTTGTGACCTGTCCCAAAGAGTTTATAGGTGGAGCGATGGGAGGGAATCTTTGCAGGAAGCAACAGTCCACTTTACTAGCCATTGAGAAAGCATTCCGTAAGTCTAATCTTGGTTTCTTGATGATAGCGTTCTAGGCTCCTAGCCAAGGAGTAGCTTTATCTCCGTCATTAGTCGTGGCAGACAGCCAAGCCTGTGTCAGCATATTCATTATAATCACGGGACAGAACAGTTGCTCACTTCAATAAAGATATAGCTCCTCTCTGAGAGAGATGGGCAGTTTAGAAATATGAAATATAAATAAATATATTTAATCAACATATAGATCTTTAATTCTTTTCCTTCTCTTGAACCTTTACCCTCCTGGAAGAATGGCCTATTAAATAAATAACCAGTAAATAGCAGTAAGGATTAACTACTGCCATTCAGATGCCTGTTTAGCACATTATCTATTAATCTGAAATCTCTTTTTTAAAAATTCAGTAATCATCAACTTTGACAGGCCCTTGAACATAAATTAATTCTTAAGCACCCTTTAAGCATACTCACCTGAAAACTTTTGACACATATTTAGAGAAGACAACCAGAATCTCCCAAAACATATAGTTATTGATTTTGTTAAGATGTAATCAGAACAAATCCTCCCGGAAGCAAAATGGGAAGCTTCATTAAGTTTAGTATTAGCTACAATTTTAGCCTGCAACAATTTTCAGAGGTTTATTTTACCAATATTAAATTATAATCTACTGTTGGAATGAGCTGTGAAACATATTGGTTGAATTTTTTATCTACCAGTAAAATCTTACTTTAAGCGGTTTTTTAAATTTCCTTTCCTCCCCCAAACAATTTAAATAGTAAGAACTTTATTTCTTACCGTCCTCTTCTGTTTGCACCACCAATTCCTCACTCTCCATCTTGCCCTCTGGATTTGAAAGCACCAACCTCAATCGGATGGTCATGAAGGGTCGTAATCCTCGCAACGTGTAATGTGACGATGTTTGAATTAGTTCCTCTGCTTCATATTTCTGCTGGTTGAATATATACTGGTAATGAACCGTCAAGTTATAGCTGTGGCAACGAGTCACAACATAACCAAAAGGCTCCCACTGCAAAGTCAACTGACGTGATCGGATGTCTACAACCTCTACATTCTGAGGACCATGGACTGGATCTGTGGAGGAAAAATATGTAATGTTTTAGCTGATGAAAAATGAAAGCATCTGGTGGATTTGGATGTGAACACTGGACAGAGAAACTGGCCAGCTTCATATATCTTATCTGGAACAAGTGTCTTTGATAATAACAACTGATACCCTTAACACTTCAAAGCTATAACATTGCAAAGTACTTTGCACAGGGCTGCTTTAAAGATTGCCAAGAAACTGTATTTGATATAGAATGTTAGAGTCCATTTGCTGATGTTTAAGAGCTAATGTGGCCTTATAACAACAAATTAGCAAGCATTGCATTGGCTGCTGATAGATTTCTGAGAACAATTCAAAATGCTGGTTTTCCAGCTTTTTATGCTTTGGATCTTAAGTAACTTCTACTTCAAACAGAATTTTATTATATTTTCATTGTGCAAAAGGATAATTAAGGTACCTCCATCTTAGAAGCTCGGGAGGACAAAGGAAATTTTCTTCACTATACTTCCTGTTCTTATGAATAGCTTCCCCAACCCCCAGAGTTTGGCTGGTACTCATTTTGATGAGTTTTTGCAAACCATGAGAAAGATATTTGCTGTATTTGATATTTAATTTGTTCCCATTAGATTGGGTGTCAGTTGAGGTTACTAAATGTAGTATTTATGTTTGTGATTGTTTTATAAATTAGCTACTTTGGTTTATAAATTCATACATTTATTTATATGATTGATATAGCCACTCATCCCACATAATACATACTGGGAGGCTTATAAGGTTAAAACAATGCATTTCTTATACGTAAAGCACTAGTGGCCATGTCTTAAATATAACATCTTTTAAAAAAAAATAAAAACTGATTGAATTGGTTACATGCAACTGTTGTGCAAAATTCAACCCAATAATTTCATGTTTTGATCTACATGACCCTTCCCTGAGGGAACTAAGAGAAAGGTATCACCATAACACATTAAGAGTAACCTAAACATTATTGAGCTACATCTCACATGTAGAAAAAACCCAACATCTACAGAACTTCCTATATACAAAGCTGTTTATGAAATGAACTTCTGCATTAGGGAAAAAATGCATTAATTGGTGGACATCAATTTTATGTTGTTTGTTGCTGTTTCTCTCCCCCCCCCATCCCTTCATATTACCAAAAAGCAGCCTGTTCTACTCTCATAATCTTTTGCCACTTTTGCATCCTTCACTAAAGAAACATCATGCTTCTTCATTCACCCAGTTCCTTTTTAAAAAGAAATACAGCTTTTCTTAATAAATACAGCTTTTCAAAATAAATAAACATTCTATTCAAATGCTCAGTATTTATTATTTCCATTAATGCCTAGAGCTTCAAATGACCTAATGATCCTTTTTTTTTAAAAGGGTCTCTTTTTCAGTGATCCCTAAATGCCACTTAGCAGATTGTTTCCGCAGATCATATTAATAATTGAAAATCAGCACTATCACTAACCTATAGATTAATGTCCATCCACAACAACCTATGATGCTACCTGTTCATATTTTCTGACATGCATTTTATCTTTTTCATTCATAATTAAACCAACACTTTTATTTCCATTGAAATATTCAACTACATTTCATTCCACAAGATTAGATCTCCTTCATTCTAATCTATTGTATCCTTCCCTTTGTCCACATTTCACATAACCTACTTTCATATCCTTCATTTCATCCTTTAATTCATATCTTTATCATTTACATTTGCATTCCATATATCACTGATGCAAAGTGTGCAGTAAACTGTTAAAACCATAGATATCATGGCACTAGTTAATCAAAGTATTCGTACACTATTTAGCAAGACAGAAAAAAATGGCCTAGGTTAGTAACCTCAGTTCCACCCATACAATAAAGGAAGTTCAAGTCAGTTTTGGTACAGCTTGTTTGGTGTATCAGAAATGAAAACATAACCCAACTTTTACCCCAAGCATTTCAAATTCAGCAACCATTATAAAAGCCAACATAATGTTGGCACCTAACCAAGTAGTAGGTAGATGTAGTATGCTGACCTACCTTCAGGAAACAAAACAAAAACTATTCTGCTAATTTGTTCATAAATAAGGAGTAGATCCTTTGAGCAATGCTGCACTGTTTCTATCTATTGATGCCTTCTATTTTAATAAAATCTATATTGTCACATTTATTTTAAATGTGTTATTTTTTTTAACAAAAAATGATTCAACAGCCAAAACGTTTAAAATTATTTCTCACGTGGAGGTGAAGCAGTTTGTATTGGTGAGACCATTTTAAGAAATATGGAGATTATTCTTTATTTTAAGATATACATCAAGGACCTTAAAGTTTCATTCTAATTAGTTTTGGACTTGCATTAATCTGTGGTTTGTTATACCATGGTTTGCTGAATAAACCACAATTGTTTTATTACAGAGAGTATGTCAAAAACACTAGTTTATATTCTGTAACACTAGTTTTGCAAAATGTGTTATGCCTAAATTAAACAAAGTGCAATACTATTGTAGTAACAAATTACCAGATATCAGTTAGTAATTGTTTTGCATTTTGTGCTAACCAGAAATGATGACTATTTCAGATTTGCTTGCCATATGTACTATAGATAACCTTAAACTTTAGAGTCACATCAGACAGACGAGAAAATAGCAGTGGATTAACCAAGTTGTTTAACATCTTTTTAAAGTTTGTTATCCAATTGTTAGATGGCCTTCAACCAGTGTAGAATATGTTAAAATCTGTCACCTGCAATAAATCATCCTTTAATCAATAAAACTGGTTTATCCAAGCACCCAAGTTTTAGGAATTCAAATCCTGATTTGTTTGAAATAAGGTTCAAGATTTTCAGTTTCATTCTGAGTATCCGTTCAAATGTAACTAAGTAATATTAAATCCATATGCTTCAGTTAAACTAATAGAGTTTTCTCATGCAGAGATGGATAGCTTTTCCAACTCCATAATTCCCATATACTGAAGAAAGCACAAATGCATGTGTATAAAACAGGGGTGAGATCCTACTGGCTTTACTACCAGTTCGCTGCTTGCGTGTGCGCACTTATGAGAAAATTGAACCTCCGCATTGAAAACAAGGAAAGGAGCAAGGAAAACAGCTGAGGAGTGGAAATTCAATCTGCCCCCCCTGACTTAACTGGGCTTCAGAGGCAGAAATAAAGGTTTGTATAAGGAAGAGGCGGATGGGTGGATCCACTTTCACAGAAACAGAGAATTGGTTGCTTTCAGCTTGAAGTCAGACCAGTTCAGCGTGAACTGGTCCAAACGGTAGAATACCACCTCAGGTATAAAAAACAATTAATCAAAGAGAGATTCTTAGCATGAAGTTTTTACAAATAAAGAATGATAACTGCAAAAAGCAATCTTTTCCCCCCAGCTGAAATAAGTTGCTTCCAGCATCACCTTTTTATTTCTTACTGATCTTTTCTTCACATTTTGGTTGATCATTTTGGCAAGTAACAGGAAATTTAAAGTATATTTTTCTATATAAGAATAACATCTTTAAAAAAAAACATGTACAGAAAACCTGTCACTCCTCAATGTGAGAACCCAGGGGACGGTTTAAATAGTCTATGTCATTCAGTTGCAGAACAAGATTCAACCCAGACTATTTGGATAAAGTATGCACGGTACCATGGCATTTCTAATGTACAACTGTACGTATAATATGAAGCCAATGTAGTCTATGTGAGTAGGCTCATTAGGAAGTCAATCAATTTGTGCTAATGATCTTTTTCTTCCAGATCCTTGTAGATAGGGAGCTGACTAATGAAAGCAAACCTGGACTCTTTAAATCTGTAGATAACCTACTGAAATTTCTTCTTCATAGTCCCTTGAGCTTCCAGGGGCAGAGACTGAAAACAAGAGGAAACACTTTAGAGCCTCAGCATTCAAGAATTCAAAGTAACATTCCAAGTAAAATGTCTCGCCAAGGAACTCTTCTGGAAGTGGCAGTTTGAGCATTGTTCCCCTGCTCTTGCATCATCAGTCCCAATAAGTCTTCCAACCTCAGCTGTGAGCATACAAGCAATTCCTTATTGATGGAGTCTCTGCTTCTGTTCTTTCCCACTGAGTAAAAAGAGTTTCCAGTCTGAGCAACTCATCTCTTTTCTCTGCTTGGACAATGAGTTATGCCAAGGCCAGGCAGTGTAGAAAGGTCGGGGGTCTTTTTATACAGGCCTGATAAGTGTAATCCAGCAGGTGCTTTCTCTGCAGGATTCTTTTTGTTGTCCTTTGCATTTGCCGTCTTCCTCAACCATCTTCTCCAACCTCATACTGCTCCTTCATCAGAGCAGCCTTTATGCACAGCAGGCAGAAAGTCAGTAAACATACTTATTCTGTTGCTGTGTGTGAGGCAGTGAAGTTGGGGTTGCTCGCTGCTCTTTTCAAAAGTAGCTGCAGTTATGTAGACAAGCTACCTCCCTCAAGCATTCACCCATTCCCTCAGAACTATACTAATAGGTATCTAAGTTGGCTGCTGCTGCAGCTGCCAGTGACAATTGAGGCACATCCTCATGTTTCCCAGGATGTGCTGGTGCAGAGGCAGCTTCATCCCATCCTGTCTTCTGAGATTACAAAAACAAGCACTAAGAGTTTCACCAGGAAGGGGAAAGTTTAGCACCAAAGGTGATAAGCAAACAGCACACAGATGGGGAAGCAGAGGCGACATCTGAAGATTGGCAGGCAAGAGAACTTTCATTCAACTGCCAGAATCACAAGCTACAATGAGCAGCATATTCTGGTGGGAATCCTGCCTAGAGCTTGGAGCTTTGCCTGGAGCTCGGCATCAACCAGAAGATGAAGAAAGAACACTGAAACAGCACTTCTTTCCAAATAGTGTAAGAAGTTTGGAAAAAGGCAATGCATACTATTTTATAAATTTTGAGACTTTTGTTTAAATTGAGCGTTGAGACACAGTATAAAGGATTAAATATTATATATATATTAATAGAACAATGTCATCTTGCAAAGTCCTAGAAGGGCAGAATTAACCCAGCATAATAGCCTATTGTTGGAGGAG